CAAGGGGCTAGTATATTATAATATAATATATATATATATATATATATACACATATATTATACATCTTACATATATAATATATGTGTATATAGATGTATAGATGTATATTATTATAATATATACATGGGTATAATACATATACATATATAGAGTTTTTCTCTAATGCGGACGTCCGCATTGTGTTAAAGTCCAGTCGTCTCCTTTGCAGTTTCTTTTTTGCAAGTGGATTTGGTTCTTAGTGGAATCCACTTGGCTTGAGGAACCATACTGGCTTAGTGAAACCCGTTCATCACTTATATGGCTCTATAATTAAACAGAAAAAGAAGCCAGTTTACAGTAGCAACCAATGGTATTGCTTATTGTTCTTCTGCACACCTTCCCACCTTTGGCTTAAAAAATTGCAAAAAAATTTGAAAAAATTCTGAATTTTTTTTTAAAACATACCAAAAAATTCTGGATTTTTTCCCTATAAATACCTAACAATTTTATTCACTTTCCACACAAAATCTTCATACAATTTCTTCTCCTTCCAATATTTTTTACTCTCCACTCACATTATTCACTTTCCACACCAATTCTTCATACAAACTCTTCTCCTTCCAATATGTTTTACTTTCCACACACATTATTCTACTACTTTCCATTTGTATTAAAAAACAAATGGCACCTTCTCTTGAAGCCGGAAGTGCGTGGACAACTTAGGAAGATATTGCGTTGTGTCAGTCTTGGGTGAACGTTAGTCATTGCCCTATCACGGGCAACAGAGGCGGAGCCACAGTGGGGTCGTCGGGGTCGCACGACCTCTTGGAAGCCATGGAAATAGCCTTGGAGGTCCCTTGGAGCTGCTGGCGCGACCTCTTGGAGCTGCACACCACGTGGTCGACGGAATGCTTGAAAGAAGAAGGAACAGAACAGCTGAAGAAGAAGGAGGAGAGGCTGCTCTGGTGCGCCTGTTTTTTTTTTTAAAACAACCTGGGCAAAACGACGTCGTTTTGGCCCAGGGAAT